CATATATTCCTATTCTTATCAAGTCGTGCTTTGCAGCTGTTTTATAATTTGTTGTATTTTTGTCGTATTACATATGTTATATATGCTCTATTTTTAAATATTTAATTACCATCCTAAGCTACATTATATGTGATATTTTAGATAAGATGGAAATTGGATTGGGCTTTAGAGGATTCAAACTGTCATGTTTAATAAAAGTTGATAAGATGTGATAGCTTACCTATCTTCGAAAGTTGGTGAAGGCGATCTCTCTCTTCCTCGACTATGTAATCTATGATATTTTACGTTAAACTTAAATCAGAATCTCTAGTACGTGATCCAATTTATTTCGCTTCTCTAACATAACATTGGTTTTACCGTTATCGATAAAAAAAAGTTCAAGTCTGTCTCTGACAGAAGGTCGGTAATTGAAAGGGACAACTATTTCATATACACAGATCAGTTAACAAGTAACTGTCAGAGATGACAAGTGTATGTAGTGTTTTCGTTGCATTGTGTTTATCGAAACGAACGCAACGAATGAGTGAAAATTGAAAGATAACTAACGCTACATAAATAAAAAAAATTTCTGACACAATTTTGTGCAATAATACTAGAAAGTTACATATTTCTCGTAACATTGAATTTTTATGTACATCTCTCTGATGATTTTTATCGAAATGTAAGACTTTATTTTTTGAAGAAGTGTTTGTGATTATGTCCTTAAGAAATTGATCCTTGAACAGAGATCCTTGAAAGTAGTTACGCACTTGAAACATTCTTCATAGCCGCAACGTGGCTTTCGTCAATGTAGAATAATTCTAAATGTTTCATACATTCTAACTTGCTAACAAATTTTAGATGTTGAACAAATTTATAACAAATTTTAAATGTAGAACTTATAACACGTGTTAACCTCTGCTCTAATAATTGCCGACTAAAACTGCCTTTCTATGTTGTAGAAATCGGAATTATATATGAATTACGTGCGTACTTGTTAGCTGTTTGCTACAAGTTTTAGTTAAATTATTGACATTTTGATGTTGGTGAATTTAAAGGATTTATTATCATTTTAAAGCCTATTTAACGATATTTAATGAACTCTTAAGTTTTACGTATTTAAAAATATTTAATAAATGTTTCAATTAAGTTAGCCATTTGTTAATAAAATAAGAAACTTGTTAATAAAATAAATAATATTAGTTTTTATTATAATAATTTTTGTCACAACGGAAATTAAATAGAGGAGCACTTTAATGAGGAACTTTTATTCATAACAAAATACATGTAAACATTTTTTTACGAGAGAGAAAAATGTATTCATAGACAAATATGTATTCTAATTGCAAAATGCTGTATTCACATGCTCAATGTTTTTGTATTTTATTCTAATTAGCTTAGTATAGCTAATTAGAAGAGCACTTTATTTGATCAAAAATGCCGAAGTAAAAAGAATAAAATTTTATTTCTTCTCTTCAAATATATAATTCAAAATAAAGTTATTTATTTTGTGATAAATTTAGGGAAAAATAAAAGCTTAAACATTTGTTCTTACGCTAAACAAAAATTTATTAATAATTTAGGTAAATTATTATTATTCTTACTGTGTATTCTTACTGTGTATTTTATTATCAAACGTATTGAGATTTTTAACATCATCAATCTTTGTTTACTTGATAAAAATTCACATTTAAAATAAAATTTCTACGGCATTGTGCTCGTCGGTGCCGTTTCTTCCGACGGAAGGCCAGTCGGAAGCCAGCATGCAGTGCATGCGAATATCTCCACCGGCACTTATTTGGTCAGTGAGCGACCTTTCTAAGGATTCTTCATGGCAATCGGCATTGCAACCAATCGAGCGAGATACCATCGCTCTGGAATCGCATATCACTGTGTCAAAAGCTAGATATAAGGTCTGGATAGCTTAGTGGTTTAGAGCAGTTGCCCGGAAAGCGAAAGACTCGGATTCGATTCCGGATCCTGCCACTTGTGCCTCACATATTTTTCTAGTCCGCGAATATTGTTTTCTAGCAATTATTCGTTGGGCTGTAAAGTGTGTGAATGTTCTATCCACAGGATTTGCATCGATGCCGTTGCCACGGATGGATTCTGTCACTCGTTGATCAAATGAGCGTATAGACACGTCTGATCTCCTCTACATACATCCCTATCTTTTCTGGAATATATAAATAGAAAATGATAGAATATAATAGAATGTAATAAATAATAGAATAAAATAAATAACAGAATTGTAAATACAAATGTAAATTTTCTAAATCTTTCAGCGCTTCTCAATACATATGCATACACATACCTTAAATTAAAATTTAAATTGTTAATGCATTATTTATATACGTAATAAAGTTTAAATAGTATATAAATAAATATATAAATAAAATATATAAATAAAATATATGAATAAAATATTTAAATGTTTCAATACTATTACTTATTAGGAAATTTTTGAAACGTATATAATAAATTGTATATAATATATAAATGTATATAATAAATTTTTTTTAAATATATATTTTTAATACTAAAATAATGTTAACTGCTTTGTATGTATATAAATAAGTGTCTGATCAACATATAACGTTTATAAAGAAAAGAAAAAAATCAAAGAGTTGAATATATATCTTGTATTACAATTCTTCGAATAGAGGCAAACTTTTACTGATATCTCGAAGTACAAAACTTTCAGTTTTATACAAGACAAAGTTGCAAAATGTTGAAAATAGCTTCCTACTTAGCGCAAATGCGATACCAAGAACAAAGCCTTTCAAAGGCCTTTTATTCTGATTTGTAGTTTAAAACTCGTTATTTCTATCGTTTATATAATTTAATTTTGCTAGATGGGTGAACATTTTGTAGTATACGAAAATACCATCAGAATATGTTTTCGTTATTAGTATAAAATTTAACTTTTTTAAATAGCATAAAAAATATCCAGAAAATTATTTTTAAATATATATTATGAAAAGTTAACTGCTATATTTAAAATGTTCATACAATGTTGATAAAAGTTCGCGAGAATATAAAAGTTTCTTTCGTATAAAATATATTTGGAATTATAATTGTACGCCGACTGATTAAAAAATCATAATTTTTGTAATACAAATATCCGTGGGCTATAAAAGATAGAATTTGTCACGCAGAAAAATAGATGTATTTTGCATAGGCCATATTATTGTGCTTATTATATTATTTTTATTTTTATTTTTCATGAGTTTTTTTATAGAAAATTATCAGAAATCTCCATTAACCAAATTAAATCTGAATTGCACATAAAGAAATAAAATTTGATTATATATAATTATTATTATCGTTTATTTTAAAAAATTTTTCAGTTGTCATATTTTCTTTTGATTAAATATTAAATTTTCCTTGCTAAAACTCTTTTCAAAAATGAAATAATACATCAGGTTTATAACATACAGTATTATTAAATATAGTATGCAACGATCGAAATTTATGCAAGGAGCTTTAAATATTTTTCTAACAATGAATTCATAATCACTCCATCTAAATATTTTATACATAATTTTGGTTACTTGAAAACACTTAAAGCTATGACTTAGGGCATATGACTTTTTAACTTTCCGCTTAACAAAAGGACTAACATGCAAAACGTGAGAAATAAAAGTTGGGCAAAGCCATATAAAATGTGCGCATAGTGGAAATAAGTGAACGCAAGAGATTATCTATTATTCGGATGTGATAAATATTATGAGATAATAAGTTTTATTCTTACCATTTTCATGAACGTAAAATCGAGGTTCATATTTTATTAATATTTTCTTATAATCCTTTTTTACATTATTTTAATTTATTAATATATACAACGCAAAATATCGCACAGCTTATATATTTGCATATCTTGTAAAATTTTTATATGCATAATATAACGTTTTGTCTTCCTTCAAAGAATAACATTTTACATTATCTAGTGAGGCAATATTAAATTGAAAATTGTAAATTTATTATTATTGATAATAATATTTGAGTAATTACTTTTTCTTGAGACAGATTATATTATTTTCTTCCAGAATAAATATTTTAATATATTTTTATAAAAATGTAAATTTTCTTTTTTTAGAATTATTAAGTTTACATATGTTTATAACAAAAAATATAAATTAATATAACGAGAAACAAAAGCTTTACAATATTTTAATAAAGTCATGTAATAATCGTGATCCAATACCATGCCGTTTACAAATCAGTATTAGCTTCCAGCTTGTTTTCTTATTTTCGTTTTCTTCCAGCTTATTTCCTTATTTTCGTTCTTTTTATATCCTTATTGTCAATCACTTATCTCGATTTCTTTTTGGAAACTGTATCAAAAAATTCAATGAAGCAAAGACTTTCATCATTAAACCTATTCCAATGGATATTGAATAAAAGAAAAACAAGAATGTTGTTTTCTCAGATCACACAACTTGAGTTTAATTAAAAGTGATTTTCTTTTTACGAAATAGAAAAAATGTTTCCATCGGAAAATAAAAATCATTCTGATTGTAAAAGTAGACTTTATTTCCTAGAAATAAATAGTATGCATTTTTAAAATATTTTTTTAAGAATACAATAAACCGCGCGAATTTTCTGATTGAATAAACTTAAATATTTTTTTAAATCCAGTTTATCGTGCAATTGAGAGCTAATCTCTTATTGTTGCTTGATCGATCGACCTAGTATTTCCAATTTTACTTGTAGCAATCGTAGATATTGAAACTTCACAATAAAGAAATAATAAAATTATTTATTTCTGTTTTGTTCTGCTTTATTCTGCTTCAAGATACGTTTAAATCCGTGCGGTGAGCTTTCTTGCTTCATGTTACACGGATAAATAAAGTCTAGTGAAATAAATCTTTGGATAAGAAACACTGATTGATATCATTAATCTTGTAATCATACAATCAATTATTTTTATTTGACATTTTTACTATCGATATATTTTCTATGCTTTTTTTTTAAATCACAACCGCGATTAATAAAATTACTGTTGATTTCTGTTGCAGGCTGTATCGGATCTTCTGCTTGGTGTGTTCTGTATGCCTTTTACTCTTCTGGGTCAGCTTCTCAAGAATTTTGTTTTCGGTCTTACAATGTGCAAGCTGATATCGTATTTTCAAGGTAAGTGTCGGTTCACCGTGTTCAGTGATATAAAAATTCGATATTATTGGAAATATACAATCCAATCTTTCCATTCTATATTATACAATAATAAGATCAATACAATAATAAAGATCAGAGAGATTTTCAAAGTGAGAATGGCATCTTGAAAATCACAAAAGTCATGTTTATTTATTAAACATTTGTCACTGTGCACGTGGAAAATTTATTATATAAAGAGTTACTATAGATTGAAAAATTTTATAATTAAGTAATACCCTATTGGCTACGTTTCATCAAATTCAATTTATTAAAGTGTAAGGCGTGTAAAGAGTCAGCAGAGAGCTGCTCAGAAATATTAATCCTCCTTTCGTTAATTTAATTGACGTTAATGAATATTAAATCGTTAATCTGTTAATTAGTCAGTATATAAGCACATGATTATTTATCTAAAATGTATCCCACATATTAAGAATTTGAAAAAACGAATGATAAAACAATTGCCACAATATATTCAGGCTCTTTGAAACGATTAAACAGGGAAAAATTTTCAAATGACTGAGACATAATTGACTTGATAAATTGTTGTTAAAAAAATAAATAAGTATATGAACAATTTCTTTTACGACAACTTATTAATTATGTTACTAATGTCGTAAAAATTTTTCTGATTAAAAAGATTTGATTTCTTCACGTTGATGTATACATAATTCTGTTTTATATTATTAATTATATTCTCTAAATATTTCTCCAAATTTTATTGAAGAAGGAGATCGAATTGATTTTAATAAGTTTTAAAATTTTATTTTGCACAATATTTGCATAAATGCTACGATTTAGTACAGATGTAAGCTTACTTTTACATAAAAGCACTGAATGCGGTAAAGTAATATTTTTCCTTGGAAAGATGCGCTCTATACTGGAAATAATAGTTTTCATTTTATTCTTCTTCTTAAAAAAAATGCAATTACGTTTTTTGTGCAACACACTTTTCATCGCGTATATACAGAAAAATGTCTTTGCAAAGGTATAATAAAATTCATATGAAAATCACAAAATGAGAAACAAAGATAATAAGATGAATGCATTAACGAGTAACCGTTTAATCTAGATTCATTTCTGTTCTCGTTCTCGTACATATAAATTAATCCAGTGAAGTTATTTTATATTTGAGTTGGCTTTAACCTAGTATCGATTGAATAAACGGTACTTCGTTGTCAATGGAATGAATATTGCATACATTGCATGAATTTAATACAACATAAATAGACTTTTGAATATCTCTTGACTTGGATTCAGATTAATTTTCTGCGGCTAACTTATTTTTCTCAATGATTAACTTAATTTGCGAAAATAACTGTAGACAAAGAAGATTTACTTCTATAATTTATTGCGCCTTTTCTATTCGTAAGCTTTAATTGAAGAAAGACAGAGATAGCGATATTGAGTACAAATTAAAATCATACGCTTTTAATTTCTTATCCGCAAAAGTTTTATCAAAGAATCGATATTCAATTATGAAGTCATTCAGATCACGAAGCGGAAAACATCTTTTTATCATTTATTCGCGATGAAGTGCGTTTAATGATTCAATATGATTTCAGACATTTTATTCATCTTTAACTAGACAAAAAAATTTATTTTTCTGTAAAAGATCGCAATAAAGAACGCAAAAAGTTACAATTTTATATAGATAATGTAGAAAAAAATTTTTATTTTTTTAATATTAAATTTCTTTACGTATTATAATTTTTAAATAATTTGTATATAAATAACAAAATTGTATTATATACAGCATGAAAGATTATTATAGTATCTAGTATCTAGTATTCGATGTACAGTTGTTTTCTTGGCTGTAGATATATGCATGTATCGTAATTTAAAATTACTATCTTTTGACGTTCTTAAAAACGTTAATCTTTATTAATATCGAATTTTTCCGAAAATATTATATAAATGCATTATAACAAGTTAGTGAGATTGCTATTTAAGGCTCTTACTAAAATTACAGCTATTACATGTAATTTTAAAGTCTCATAATCTCGAGTATAAAAGAGGATGATACTAGAGGAATATGACGGTAAAATCAAGACAGAGGAAAGATAGATTATTAGGAAAACATTCTTAAAAATACTCGGTATCTTTGTTATTCTTGTTGATATGTTGTAATAACATTTAATAATTGATATTAACTAGTTAAAAATAAAAATCTAAGAAACTAAGAGAAAGAAAGAGATAAAGTTCACTTTTTCTATAAAAAGTATATATTTGTTTAATATTGTTTAATACAATTATCTTAACATTTTTATATACACATGTAAAAAAATATAACAATAATCATTAATAAGTAAAATAGTAAAAGGATTGAAATGATGCAAATAGTATGCCGGACTATATGTTAATATAACTTAAATTTCTTAGAATTTTATGATAATAAATAGATAAACTAACCATTAGATAGATGCCACGATCAATCACATAATACTCAAAGAGCTTGTAGTGGTCAGACGTGATATATTCGCTAACCAAGCAGCAAATTGTTATTACGCAATACGTATTCGGATAATCGCAATGATGTCATACTAATTCTCTGAATTATTGGACATCGTGACAAATCAAAATAATTACATATATATATATATATTTGTGATTATTTTTATTATATACATATAATAAATTATTATATGTTATAATTTTATTATATATAATCTTTGAAAAAACGAGAAAAGGACAAAGAATTATTATATATATATATATATAATTAATTATTTATTATATAACAATATATATAATTTATGTATTTTTTACATAATGATTGCAATTATTAAATTTTATTACATTATATCTCTGTCTCATTAAATGTTGATAATATATATGTATTAAATATAATTAATAAAATTATATAATTAAAAAATTACACTTATACAATAAGTCAATACCAGTTAATGTAAAGTCAAATTTTGATCATAGGGAGATATCCTAAAAGAAAAAAAATTCTCGATAGGTATACATATTTATCGTATATTATAATGATCTTGTCGCATCTGGGAAATTTGCACTAATGATCGTTCTCGTGAAAATCACATCTCGAATGTCCGCCGATAAAGGAAAATGATCCTGTGTACGAACTTGTATTACACTCCTGAGTATCTCGGGGATACTTCGATATTTCTTTAGATGAATATAACGCGCTATCAAGTTCGTCTTAAGCTTACAATATTCAGAAGAAATAAGGAGATGAAAATTATATGTACGTATATAATATACATATAAAACAAGATTATTTTTTAAAATAAATTATAACGTGTATTGAGGTAAAATATTTATTACCGTTCGTTGAATCTCATGTTTTCTCGCTTATTATATTCCCTTTTTGATTTTCGTAATATATTGGATTTTGAAATTACGCAATACACACGATTGTACAACAGCGTGCGACTGCATAACTATAAAACTGAAACTTTTTGTACGCATAACAATAACCCGCGATATGAGCGTATCGAATATATAAAAAGGATAAAGAAAATCAGGGGTAGAGATAGGCATGTACGCACGTCGATTTATTCACACAAGCGTATGAGGGATTTTCGAGGATTCATGTAGGCATATGTATATACATACAGAGAATATATAATCTTCTTTTCGTAACCTGTTTTGAAATTGAAATCGCGCGAACGCAGTACATTTTTCGCCGTAGATGCCGTTCCTTTTTTTCTCCAGACACTTTTATTGTCGCGGCATAAGAGTGGGGTATAATCGGTTTTTTTCTTCCATTGTCACGGATTATATCGGACCTGTTTCATCCGTCTCGCCCGTATAAAACGAATAGACATTAACAGCGATTTTTCTTTTTTTTTACGAACAAAGACATATAACGTATATCGAGGTATGAAATAACGAAATTTTGCTCGTAAAGGATTTTCACGTTGTATCATTTTTGCATGTAATGAGCGGACTTCGTGCCATGTCATATTAATTCGTACATTAATAATGCAGATTGATCAATGTTTTATAACGCGACATTCAAAACTCTTTATGTAAATTGATAAAAACGTAATTAGCTTGACTAAAACAGGTGACTGTATGTTTTACATTCACGTAATCTTGTATCGTTAATGAAACCGTAATTAATTGTAAGATTTTACAGAAATATGTAACAAGTATATTGCTTACAAAATTATTATATTATTTCTCTTTTTTAATAATTAACATTGTTCCACTTGTTGCAATGAAAATAGCATTTTATCAGCGGCGTTGCTCAAGCGGAAAAGATATTTTTATTTAAAATAAAACTTCGCATTTTCTTTTCCATTTTAAACTTGAAGTGCAGAAGGTGAATAAACGTTTCATCACAAAGATCACAGGTCGTAGATGGATAGATGCATTTCGTATTTATTTTGCCATATGCGAGAGCTTACCAGTGAAATATATCCAAGAGATACAGAGTAAATTTATCGGACAATATATCGGTGCTTTAGAGCGACGTTCGCAAAGGGCCATAGTCCTTCTCAATTTCGCCAGCTACTATGTTCTCTGTTATCTATGCTTTCCTCTATAATGTGTTTCCTCGTAGTTTATATCAATAAAGGCGTGAAAATGACGAAAATGCATTACAAGTAGTGACTACGTAAATTTCGGTGAGATATCCGATATCTCCAAAATGCACGATATATATATATATATATATATATATATATATATATATATAATCATTAATTATTATAAAATTTAATAAATGTAATTTAATCTCGTCTAATTGAGAATGTAAAATTTTGACTTTAATTATACTATAAATAGACGATATAAAGTTATTAAAAAATGATTAATCTGACAACCGAAGATTCGTTCTCTTAAGTTCTTGATTACTCTTTAAATGCTTGAATTACCGAGTTAATTTACTCTATTAAGATTTTCTTAAGTACATCGATGTATATTACATTTAATCTTATTATAGGATTTGCTAATATACGTATATAAAGAGCTTGATAAGCTTAATAATGCGAAGCACCACAAATCGTTTTCAATAATTAATTCCGTTAATTTTGACTGTCCTTGTTTTATGCAAATTAACTTCAATTGCTTGTATTGTCTACCTTTTCAAAGTGTGTAATTAACTTTTCGCTGTAATTAAAACAAAATAATGCTATCTTTGTGTCTCTATTTATTTAAATTTTGTAATTTATTTAAGTGTTACTCGTACAAATGTTTATTTTTTTAATTTTACGATGGAAAATTGTTAATGTAGTATTGCATTGTCGATGGCTTCGCCTCCGGTAACACGAAATAATTTTTTAGGAAATTCTGGATATCTTTAAAAAAGTAGTAACACCGTACATATATAAATATAAACTGTGGAAAGATAATTATCCCCCATATTAAATTAATAGCATGCATTTTAATTATATTAGCTGTGTCGATCGGAAATCTATATTAAACGATAATTTATATTTGTAATTCGATATTCCAATAAGCGTTCTTAAACGAAATTAGAAATAATTGTAACGCGATAAATTGCATCTACGTAAAGAATGTTCCACTTTTCACTCACATTATCTCTTGACAATAAAATTCTTTAATTAATTTGGAATTAATTTTATCTTAGCCAAAGTGTCAAGAGAGATCCGTATTTTAAATTACTTAGCTTTAAATGAGATTGAGAAAAGGAAAAATCTTTTGTAAATTTTAAAGAATGTGAAATGAATAATTAAATTACGTTTTTTTGAGTCATTTCAAGTAAAGTTAAAATTTTTATTATTTTAATTAAAAAATTTATCATATATATGGAAAATGCGAAACTTGTCTTTATTCAGCTTGACATTGTTAAGAAATAATTGATTTTGAATAATTGAAATTGCTCAAAGAATCTATTCTTTATTACTAAAAAATAATTGTCAAAGAATTTATTCTTAAAAAAGAAAAAAATTGCAATTGTATTATATTTGTTTATCTACACAATAATATTATTTTTGTAAAATAGCATTGTAACCAGATTAAATTTCGTGATTAAATGCTTAAAGTATTTTCCAATCAAGGTTTATCAAAGGTAAAACTCTCGATAAAATTCAATTATAATGAGAATTTCCTGTTAACAGGAAATCTTGAAATAAAACACGTAAATAAGTCACGAAAAAATTTCATAATTGGCTTCGAGGTCATCGACAAAGAGAATTTTGTCGCAAAATTTTATCTTCCTCCATCAAAATGTGTACTCTAAGTTGTAAGTCGTAAAAATTGTTTGGCGACACTTTTAAGTAGAAACTTTGCTACCAGTAGCTTTCGTATCGATCGATAGGGATGAAAAGAAAGTGAGCTGGAGTTCAAAAGTGATCCTCTGCAAAACTGCATGTCACGTACGTTCATTTCTTGTGATGTATATAGTCTAGATTGTTAGCCTTAACCCTTCAATTTTCTGTTATTGAATGCTAAACTGTTTTCTATCGCCGACAATGTGTAACTGATATTTTTTGCTAGTAATGTTTTTTGTTTCGAATGTATTTTGTTGTCCATCACGTTGTTACATCGAAGAAAATTGAAAAAAATACTTCTTTTTTCTTTTATATTTCGGGATAATTAAATTTATCGATTTATTTAAAAAAAATGGAACGATATAAATCAGAAATCAAATTATAAAACGATCGATCGTTGATATGTTATATTGTACAATATCTTATTAATTTTTTACCGTTTTATAGACGGATTATCCAATGAAATAGAATCGTCGATGTGAAATCAGATATAAAAATTGCATTTGTGTAAAGGCAGATAATATAAATCTATATCATGTGCTAGAAGTGGTGCTATATTATAAATATACGATGTTTTCTTTAGCCGTGTCAGTATCGGTGGGTGTCTGGACGTTGGTCGCTATTTCGCTAGAGCGCTACTTCGCTATTTGCCGACCATTAAAGTCGAGACGATGGCAAACACAATTTCACGCTTACAAAATGATTGCCGTTGTATGGACTCTCAGCCTCACATGGAACGCGCCGATTCTCGTCGTATCTCAATTAAAGAGCTTACGTGGAGGTAAGATAATGCCGATATATGAGTATTGTATGAGTATCTTATTTATATGAATAGCAAACTGATAAATAAATAATACTAATGACTAAAAATAATATTTATACAAGTAAACTTTTTTATAGATTTATCTTCATTTCGCGAATAAATTTACGAAATATTTAAAATAGTTTACAAATATTAAAAATTCAAATGTACATATTTTTCAATGCGACATTTGTGATATTTGTTAAAAAATGTTACATGTTGTAATTATTCACTAGACAGGAATCAAATTTTTTCAGCGCCATTTTGACATTTTCATTTCGGTCCAATATCGACATCCACCCTCGTCTTCCTCCGGGAATTTCACTCGGAACTGTAGCCAGCTTATGCATATACATAATATCTAACAACTGAAACATATTGAATACTCTGCAATATTGAACATCTACAGAAGAAATTGAGTCTTTTGTGTGAATGTAAAACTTTAGTTAGGTTAATAGTTTTTATTACTTATAAAAAAATGCTTTTAGTCAATGAATTTTAACAGAACTTAAAACGGAACAAATGATGAATAATTTATAAGTATCAAGCAATTCTTTTATTTATATGTATAGTGATTGAGATTGAACTTGTTTAATATTAGTCGTGACTTACAATTTATTTGTCGAGTAAAATCGATATATTATATAGAATATTGCTTTAAGATGTCAATTAATTATTGATCGCGTTCGATATTACTGAAACACCTCTAGACTTCATTTAATCCAGAGTAGAATATGTATAGTGCATATACATGATCTGTAACTATGTAAAGTGCTAGCATGCCATATTGCATTATATAATTCCTTCATTAATTGGGCTCTGACAGATTTCTCTTTTAAGATATTGAGGTATTGAAAGTCAATATGCACAGTAATAATATTATCGACGTCGTACATGATTTATTAAAATTCTATATTGAAGCACTAAAAGTTAATTGCATCGCAACATTATCAATTACTCCTTTATAGGTATTCTATAAATTCCTTTATAAATTCATAAATCGTTTCATTAACAACTAGAGTAGATTTCTAGAATATTAATTATCTCCACGAATTTAAGGATACAAAATTCGTTGTATATAACGTAGAATATATTTATTTTAATAATTTTAAAAATTAATAATATTATTAATTATTAATAAATATATATTAATAAAATTATTAATGTATATTGTATATATTATGTAATATTTATACACACACATATATATTGTTAATATTAAGTTGAAATTAATTCTATTTGTTAATGAAACAATCTATGATGAAAGATAGATATCTAATTTTAATCAACGAGTTTAATGGCTACATCTAGGTTCTCCGTGTGAACAAATGAGGAGTTAGATTATCTCTGTTTTAACCGCGCGGCCGTTTTCCACTGGGAAACATGGCAGTAATACGAGTCTGCGATTATGTCAGGCTTCATCTAAACTGGTTAAAAAACTGGTTGATAAACTCTCTCGCGTCGCATGACAATTTCAGGAAGACGCAAATGTCGCGAAGAATGGCCGAATGACAGTACCGAGAAAGCATACAATCTTTTCCTGGATGGCACGCTGCTTCTGATACCACTGCTGCTCATGAGCCTGGCCTACTCGTTGATAGCGATAAAACTTTGGCGCGGTCTGAAACTCGAGATACGACAATCATCGACATGTACCAGAAGACGTAAGTGAAATGCGCTTCGATGTATCAAACACATTTATATATGTGTATTTTCTCTTAAAAACTTTCTGCAAAATATCATCAATAAAATTGTAATTAAAATCAATGATATTAATCACTGATGTATAATTCATGCAAAAGCTATTGAATAAAAATTATTTGGAAATTGTATCGCTTCGTTTTCCGTCGATATATTTGAGCGTGAATTAAAAATGTAATTTACTGAATATTTAAAAAAAATATTTTTAAAAAGTCGAATAAGTTTTATGTGAAATGCTCATTTCAGATAATCTTAAGATCGCATTTAATCAAAATCTGATGCATATATTATAAATTATAGTTGAAAGAACGGCGTCTGGTGCGACAGTGCGAGGTTCAAATTACAACAATAATAATGACAGAGATGCAAGATTGACTGTATTTCGCGCTGGCGGTCCAACATCGAGGTCGCGTCGAGGCTTTTCGTCTTCCTCGAGGCACTTTCAAGGCACTCCCCAGGGTGCACCATCTAGGGTGAGAAAATATTGAGTAAACATCACCTTGGAATCTAATATCAATAGGCATTCCGTATCAATAGGGAATCAAGTTTATATTAAGCATCGCCGAAGAGACGAGAGATCGAACGCTTAATGGTTGAAATTATTTGTCTTATTAGAGTATTTTCTTAATTCTGCAAATTAGATTTATAAGATCTCTCTTTTATTATTTTCTATAATAGGTAAAGAAAGAATTCTCTCGCAAAAGATTTTCAAAAAATACAAGTTCTTATCAAATAAAATAATATTAGACTTCGTTCTAATGTTTGCAAGTATAAGCTAAAAGTAAATCTCATAATTGCATGAAATTTTTAAATTTACATTTTATATATGTTATATATGTTAATTTTTATTATATATGTTAATTAATGTTTTATTATATATATATGTTTATTATATATGTTAATTTTTAAATATACATTTACATATATTACCTTTTTTTTAATGCTTCTTTTATCTTATAAATTTTATAATAAATTATTCATAGACTTAGTGTATTTTATTATCTATAGAATTCAATTTTGACTTATCATTGCAGAATTAATATAGTTCAAATATTTAATTAAAATTGTCGATCATACTATAAAAATATTTTAATTATAATATTGCAATTATTTTTTTGTATTTGATATTTAGACAAATAGCTCATTTAAATCTAATTATTTACATTTCATTACTATATTATTACAACAAGTAGCTTATTAATCATCGAGATATGCTACAATTTTGAAATTGATAAATTGAGAAAAAAGACCGCTACATTATTAACTCGCCTCGCTTAATTGAGATTCCGTGATCGAGTGAAATGGCCCGCGGCAGATAAATTTGCAGAATAGGATGACGAATTAAGTCGTTCATCGTCTCGAGACGAACATTCAAGTAACACGTGCAATGGTTAACCGAGACATCGCGTTTCCCTTCCTCCCTTATCCTCCCTCTTGCAAAAAAAGGTGCGGTTACCACGGACGGTAGTCTCCAGGGTGCTTACCGACAAGTGTCACGGTACAGATTTGTCCCAGGGATCCAGGATTCAGATACGAGCGAACGGAAGCGGCTGCTTAACGCGGGACACGAAGGACGTCGTTAACGAGGATCAGCAGGACTCGACCTGTCCCCTCAGCAGGCAACACGTGATACGCAGTAATTACATGGGGAAGAGCATCGAGGCGAAGAAGAAGGTATGTGCGAGCGCCTGATTAAACGAACTGTAGACACTTACGGATGACTTGTAACATGATTTTCCACTCCGATGGAATTCAAATTAACGGAATTACGTATATAATTTGCGCTTTGCATGCTTATATAGCGCACTCGTAGCGATTTCGAGGGTTTCTGTTTCTAGGAAATCGTGGAATCTGGAGCAAACGTAGGAAAAAGCCGCGGTTACCGGTGCACGCCAGGTCGCGAGATATTTATCGGCAGCTATATTAACCCTTTATTATTTGCCTGCAATGCTCGTTCGCGAAAAATTTTAGACACAGGTTGTTTCAAAGCGATTTGCAAACTTTGCCATTCTAGAAATGGGAAAAGAATTTTATATTTAATATTATTTTCTTGTATCTACTGGAATATATTGGCAAAGTTTAATTTTGAAATACCCTATATATTTGTATTATACCCTATATATACCCTATATATTGTATTTTTACAAATATATACGAAAAAATCTATTTGAAAATATGTTTTTTAATCTAATATACATATGATAAGAGAATGTCACAATTATCTTTTGAATATGAATTTTGATCAGGAACGCTATGATGTTCGTTCGCCATATTGAACGCATTGAACACATTCTCGCCCGGTGTCGCAGGTGATCAGAATGCTCTTCGTGATAGTTCTGGAGTTCTTCGTATGTTGGGCGCCATTGCACGTGATCAATACGTGGTATCTCTACGCGCCTGATCTAGTCTACTCGGTCGTTGGTAGCACCGGTATCAGCCTGGTGCAGCTATTGGCCTATGTATCCAGCTGCTGCAATCCCATCACGTACTGTTTCATGAACAGAAAATTTCGCCAGGCGTTCCTCGGCCTATTCGACTGTCACCGTTGTTGGAGGTAAAATCTAGGTGAAGCCACGCGCGTACATACATCTTCCATCACGAGTGACATAGATTTAAGGGAATTATGATGATACGTAAGACGGAGCTCCTCCGTACAAATTCGTTCTCCTTACGAGTTGTACCAGTTGGTTTCTCCGGCGCCGGGATTAATTTCTTGGAAGATACGTAGAAGAGTTCTTTCGGAACTGCCGCGGCCGGTTAGAAAGGCTGTAATTACCAGCCATTCTCCTGTCAAGTCCCAAAGTTATTAACAGGAGTGCTCGTCCTCGCTCTTATTTAGACAGAAATAATAAAACAGTAAAGTTTGATCTTCTAAATGAAGAACGGAAATTGAATGAATATAATTATAAGTATTTATTTTAAAATTTAAATTTAAATTTTCTATTTTAAAATTTAAAGATATATTTCTAATTTCAAGATTTGGGAGAAAAAACGCGCGAATTAGCGTCAGGAATAAATGCTCTATTGCATGCTATAAATAAACTTTCGCATAAACGGAAACATGCGTTTTGTTTTAGGGTAGGTTGCAGGCACAGCGATATTGCTATGGCGACCACGGGAAATGTCGGGCAAGCTGGCAATAACAGCGAATTAAGCGGAAATGACTCGACGGTATATCTAGGCAGAGCGTCCCTCGTCGCTAGATCAGGTATCATCACACCATTAAATTGATCGTTCATTATCGCCATTCTCAGATCCGGTTGCGACATCAATCATCAACTTTTGAGATTCTGATTACGTTACCGTGAAATTATACGACACCGTAACAGCCCAGATTTTATCAAATTATCATAATATTATCAGAATATTACATGAGATGCAAACTTTCAGGAATCTGTCGCGTTAACTTACAAGTTTCCTGTCATATTTCAAAATGTATCTTATATAATTAAATTCTATAGATAATAAATATTTCATATGTCGTACAAAGGTATAAAGCATGTACATTCATTGCGCGACATTTTCCACGTATTTAGCCTACTTCGTAACAAGTAAACTGAAGCAATGACGTGATCGATAACAGTCCGCCGCGAACATATTCACTGGCTTTTCACGGCATTCATTAGCGTTCCCACGCGTAATTCCTTCATGAGATACCAGCTTGTATTTACTATATGTGCGCTGGATGTGTCTCTAAACTTTTGAATGAATAATTAGACGTGCTCTAATTCCTGCTTGTGTGAAGGTTAATTATTTGTATCTGTACCACATGAGATTATTTCCTCGATCTGCTTATGATAATGAAGTACACGCGAAAATTGAAATTGTAGTGATTAATAATAATACATATACACACGAAAATTTTTTACTTTGACAAGTTTTTCGCGCATAATCAATTAGAAAAATAATCAATATTATCTAATGCTCATGCAATATAAAATACGATCAATTCTTGTCATTTTTGGAATTTTGATTTTTATTTTGAAAAATATATTCCTCAATATATACACATAAACATGTAAAATGTTAATCGACATTTAATTAGTATTTGATATATCAGTATATTAAGAGAATAGAATTTTATTTGTAATTTTATTCATAATGTGTTTTTCTTCTTAAAAGTACTGTAAAAAAAAATTATCTTTTGGAATTAGTTTTTTTCATATAACCGCATCCTTTGAGCTTTAAAAACTGAGACTTGCTGTTAAAATTAAAAATTAATGCGATTTATTGTTCAAAAGAAACGGAAAATTATTATTTTGCAAGTATATCGAAAAACGTGAGAATATTTTTCTCTTTCATAAAATAGAGTACTGGAACATTTTATCTTGTAGATGACAAACTAATATCTATCGATCATGGATAATGGAAAATAACTATATATTATAGAAAGAAAACAATTTTAAATATAATTTTTATTTTAATATTTTTTAAAAGAATAGAAAAGAGATAAAAATAAGAAATAAAATTTTATGAGACATTGAGAATTAAAAATAAAATTAGTATATTTTTTTTAAATATGCAATAATCGATTATTAAGCATTTTCTCTTATGTGACAATTTCACAAACATTTAAAAATTGATAGTTTATTTTTTTAATATAATTGCTTTTATATATTTGGAATAATATAATGCGCAAATGCATATGCGATTCCCAGATATGATAAAATGTAGTAGTAATCTATATAATAAATATATATAAATTCAATAACAGATTCCGGTACTATTATGTGAGCATAGCACTTAATTGAATTATATGTTTCTCGACAAGCAATCATGAATTTCATAAAAATTATAAACCCTGTTTATTTTTCGAGACATTTTAATTTAAACTCCGTAGGGATAATATCTTATGCCTTTTTTCTCTCATAATAAATGCATTGTCTCACTTACATTATTAAAAATTTACTTTGTGAAATATATATTTTACCTTAATCATTATTTTACCCGTGCAAGAATTTGAGCAAAAGTACTTCTTCATCAAAGCTGAAAAATATCTGAATAATTTAACACTCTAAAATAATTATACACTCGCAAGTCCGAATAGTCCATATAATCATGATTTTAATCCAGGAGATGAATCTATCAGAATTTGTGTATATATGAACTTTTGCTTGATAAATAATTTTATTTCTTCCTCTGTTAAAAATTTTAAATTTATTTTTAATATATGATTATTTTTAATATAAGATCATCCAAATATAACGCAAATTATTCTTTATATTCATTTTAATCCAAATTAATGTGTTTTCGATAGACAACAATTTTAGATGGATATATAACTTCTAGATAACAATTTTAGATGGATATAACTTCTTGTATTATATGCGGACACATTCGGACTTAAGTAAACGAGTAATGATTATTTCGAACTTGGATATCCTCAAAATCCGGGTCATATTTGTACGATCCTTGGTCCTCACGAAAAAGGAATATTGTTTCAGAGGTAGTTCGGTTGCTGGAGGAGGAAGATCGCGTCTAGTATAGGTCGTGTGGATTATGTGACGGGGTGACAGAACCAAATATATCTCTACCCCAGTCTCGCGAGCAAGAGGAGGATTTTTTTCTGAAAATATCCTGGCGACCGCCCGTCGACAAGATCGGTTGTCGTGGAAGCGGCAAGGAACTTGGGTGTGCCGGTGTGTCTCATTGCTCATCTAGATCTTCTTGCGTGGACAATCTCAACTTTCTTTACGATTAACCGAAGCCAAATATTAACACTATTCTCCATGAAGTGCGTATTTTTTGGCCTAACAGGTATTTCAGAGATCTCTTTTTATATTCTTTAATTAATTCATAGAGATTATAAAATGTACAGAAAGGACGCTTATATGTCTTGCCGGATTCCTGTTGAATGTTTTATTCTTCTATTCTTCTATTCTGCGACAAACCAGGCGATAGCACTCATACGTAGTTAATATAATCGCGTCAGTGTTTTTGTACAGATCAGTCAAACAGCTGGATGAAAGTTTTACAATGTAACCGCAAATAGATAATTAGTTTGTCATAAGTTTCTCATTATGACATAAGCTTATTATATCTTTGTCATAAACTTATCATATCTTGATAAAATAACAACTTATAAAAAATTGGTGAGATTGATATTCATCTATAAATTATATATATTAAGTGTATAATCGTTGATTGATATATTTCTAACAATGAAATACTTCAAAATAATATTACAAATATTTAAAAAATTTTGCATCAGTTTTTATTTTTTAGATATAATAATACGGCACGCGCTGTAAATCTTTCTCGTGATGTAAAAATTTTTGGAAGATTAATACTCATCTGATTTTGCGAAATAATATTTTTACATAAAAATATGATAAAACACTTATCATCGCAAACTTAATGCGTAGAATTGTAATATTTATTCATAGTATTTATTCAATAAACGGAATTTTATATGGGAAACAAACACAGTTATGCTATTTCTGCTCATTTATGTTACATGTGCTAATTTCGAGAAACGGTTTTATATTTCACAGTTTTATAATTAACGGTTTTATATTTCGCACATATATATCCAATCAGATATTTTGCGATAATTGCAACTCGAAAATAAATTAACAGCATTTAATTCAATTTCTATTAATTTGTTGCGATGAAACGCAGATGTGTTCCAAAAATACATTGAAGAAGAAAATTTAAAACAATTTTTTTGATGAGATTATTCAACATATGAAAGAGAAAAAGAAAGGGGAAGAGAAAAAATTTATATATAAATGCCACATGTTATGCAGTTCATATCTTTCATCATACATATCTTTGATACACCTGTTGCATACGTTTCATGGACCTGTCAGGGAATAACCCTTAAATGATAACGCGAGAGATATATAAGCATATTGCACGTGGTTGCTCAAAGCCATACTTGCTGAGTTTACAGAACTCATATTTCTATCTCTATTTTTTAATATGTTATTCTCGTTACTTTTTAGTACATTATTATTTGCAATAAAATATTACTTTTCATGTAATATAACTATTTTTTGCTTAATCCTGTAAGCTATTATTGTATAAAAATTGCAACATTTTAAGAAAATTATTTTTGAATTATTTCATTTATTATTGTAACGTTTTAAAAAATATTATTAATAAAATGTTTTATTAGTAGCAGTTTTTCATTCAGATATTAGATAACCTGTTAAGTATATTAAATGTGTATAAAATGAAAAATCTATCGGAATCCGTTTTTAAATGTTGCTTTAAATAATAATTGATTTTTAAATAACTGTGTTTGTTTGGATTCTTTTCAATTTCTCTCAATATAATCTTTTAATATAATAATATAACAATGTAACAATATATTTATTTTATTTATTACAAATTTAAATGTTTAAAGTTAAAGAAAAATACATATAAATGCGTATTTCTATGTACAAAAGTATATTATTATGTGACGAGAGAGAGAGAGAGAGAGAGAGAGAGAGAGAGAGAGAGAGAGAGAGAGAGAGAGAGAGAGAGAGAGAAAATATAGATTAATACATAAATTATATTAAAATAAACACACATCTTGGCTCAATTGGATATAATAAAAAATAATAAAATAAATTCTGTAGGGTTCTACATTCTTCTGAAATATTTAAGATATATATTTGAAAGTTCTTCGCGGTTGCGACACTCTTGTAACAAAATAGAATAAGATTTGATCGATTTTAGACATTGCGCGAAGATGTTTAATAAACTTTTTTCAACACGATTCTATAATCTGTATTATTTTTCCATCAAGTATTCTTTATCGCTTTCCTAATCTCGTCATTTAACCATATCCTTCAATTTTCCAACTTTTTCTCCGGCCATGCTGCAGAAGTGTTCCATTTTACTGTCTGCGCATATTGATTTCCAGCTATGAAAAAAGTTGCCACGCATCTAAGTGAACTTCAAATTGAAAAATAAACGATTTTAATATTGCAACACAATAAAATGCATAATGGATTAATTATATATGCATGAATAATATTTTATCAAAATATTAATACCATTAACTTTAAATTAATTTAATATTAATTGCTTGGTTTAAGACTTTGCTTTGTATTCTGAATTTGTGTTCTGATAAATATATAACTTCAATATAAATATTAACTTTCTTCTAACGAAATTTATTATGTATGTGTGTATGTGTAATAAATAAAAATGTGTATAAAAATTTATTACATTTGATACATTCAACGTCGTCAAAGGACGTCTATTGTCACAAGGAAATTTAATACAAACTGCTTTCCAAGACTTTCGTTTCGCGCGTTTGTAGGATATAATAATTAAAAGGATGGAGAAAAATTAAAAAAAAAATAATCGCTTTTTGTTATACTATTTGTCGAGTTATATATATATTCAATAAATCAAGCAACTGACAGAATAGAATCTTTTTTAATTCAATTTTTCGATACAATAAAATCTATGCTGAGAATTCCTCGGGAAAGAAATAAAAAAATTTAATTAAAAATATCTCAATAAAATTTCTCATATCGAAAAATATCTCTCAATTTTTTTCATATGCATACTTGTATGTGAGCTACATCGATATCGTCTACTTTCTCTTGGATTAATAATTCTTACTGAAAAGGTTGGGATAAAGCTGGGTTATATCTAAACGAACATGAGCCCTTGTAAAGCTCAAGAAAGGATATTGTCCCATGTCGGCCACTTGATCTCGTGTCTTATCGGTCCGCAAGGGATTTACCCCAACCCAATTATTAATCAGAGACTACGGCTTGTTTCAAGGAATAAAAACCCAACGGACGAAAATACTTCAATATATCACGTCACGTGCATTTATCACTCCTATGATATTTAATCCCGTTCTTGTCACGGAAAAGTTACGGAAATAGGTACGAGAACGTGACTGGAAGTGACGTTATTGAATAAATTAATTAGACAGTCATGTGCAAGATAGTTCTCATGTTATTTCTATGACTTTTTGTAAGTCTTCAAAAGTTGGGCTACCTAGTGTGTAATGCGTCCATTAATAAAACCATCCGGACCGCTATGCATAATACATAACGTTTTTTACGATGGCATTTCGTAAGAGCAGTTAACGTACGGAAGCTGCTTCTATCTAATGAAAATGGTTTTTACTTTGTGTAAAAAAAGGGATTTAATTCGATTTTGTTGATTACATAATTTTCTTTCGCAATATAAACTCTCGGTAATCTCGTAAGCAAGTACTTGATGGTAAAGATTTTGATGAAGGATTCTTTTTTCTCATCATATTTTATATGTTTTATTATTCTTGAAATGTACTTCTCTTTCTATCTGATCGACGACACTTAAAGTCCCTTGATCAAAAGGCTGTGTTAATAGCAACCAAAATAACATGTTTGCACTGTTTTACTTTTATGAATAATATACATATATATAAAACTGTATACATACTCCTGGACAAAATCAACTTTTCTTTGAAATCTTTCATTAAAATTTAAATATCAGCTTTTAAAAAAAGTTGAAAATTATGCGTTAATTTTGTCTAAGAATATATAATGTAATATATGTATAATGTAAGAATATATAATGTATTTATATATAATACTATGTAAAAATTTATATAACTATTTATATAAATCTTATTAAAAAAAATTAATGCAACAGTGTTGCACATTAATAAGTCTAATTTATATGTTTAGTTATCCTTTTCTCACTACACATTTCATTTATGCATGCATAATCTAATCCTGGCAGTTTGCAATACGTAAATTACACAGCGCTTATTGGTGAAATATTCGATTATCTGAAATTGCCCATGAGCAGTGCTCTGGTTTGTTTCTTGCTGAACTTGTCATATATTTTAGATGAGAATTGGAACAATGGTAAATCCACTTTAATTTGCATTTCGAATAAACGGTTGAAACTAATCCGACTATTATAATGTAAACTAGATTTAATACCGTTACTATTAGAGAGCCATTGTTTAATTTGCATTTCTGCAACTTTATTTTTTTTATATGTTGTAATTTATGTGACGTTTAATGGCAACTTTTAGTAATGCAATCTTTAATTAATTATCAGTCAAAAATAAAATTCTCCTTACATTACTAATTAATTAAGTGATTGTATACAGTGATCTTGTTTATTACATTTGCATCTCCGTGCCACCGTTTAATTAAAGTTCAATTATTTAATTGAGAAAGTTTATATATATATATATATATATATATAATTTTTGATATTTACATTATTAATATTTACTTATCCGTGAATAAAAGATATTCGAATACAATTTGATATTACGACTTAATATTTAATTTAACGGAATAAAATGAGAAATTTAATTTAATTGATAAAATTATGTGAATAATTATGTAAATAAAATTATGTAAATAAATGAAGAAAGATACGATGAAAAATAAAGATCGATACAATTTTTAATATCGATTTACAATATCGATATAGAATTAAGAGAATTAGAATTAAATTAGGATCGTATGTGGATTAACTTAATTCATTTTATTATTCGAAAAGCAGGAAGGAAACAAAGTGTACTAAAAGAATTTTTTATCAGCGAGTACACGTTTTTAGAATTTTAAAGATGCATGACTGTATTGAGAGATAAAAGTCGCAATGGTGGTTGGTTTAGCAACTCTCTACTCTTTTAGCGTTACCCTATCATCGATTTCGACTTGTCTTTATATGCCACACAAATATTTCAAATTACGCATAGAATTCTAGAGATTCAGGTTAAATATTGCCGTTAAAAGTAAGATAATTCTCCCAAGTTAACTTTTTAAAACTTTTAATGGTATTATTCTAAAAAATATTGTGATTTTCTTGTTGACACGTTTCCCATTTGAAGAAGCAGTAAATTCTTCCCAATTCTTGGTCATTGAATCGTTTAACTCATCACCATACATACATTTTAAAAATCAATTATTAAATGTTATATATTATGCATTATTAAATATATTATATGTAAGTATCATAACATTTATTTATAAAAAAGAAGCTTTTAAAAACTGAGATTCTAATATAAGAATAATAAATGAAAAGTAATGTCTCTGAGTAAAGAAAAATTAAAAAATTGCAAAAGTTGTTTATTAATACTAATTTAAAAAAAAGAACCATGGAAAGCTTTTTGTCGGAAG